ATGATTCAGACCTAAACGCAAAAGCCTTTTGGACTTCAGTTGAGAATAAAATTGTATTCTCACTAGGGCAACGACCCACAGACGCTGGTGCTCAGCCTAACTATGATCACAGACAAAAAAGTTTGTTTGGATCTCTATTAACAGAAACAGCTCTTGAATGGTATACTGATGAAGTAACTAATGCTACTACTTGGGCTGAACTAAAAAATCTTTTTCTTAAAAGATTCACTGATGGTAGAGATCGATTCAAGCATCGAATTGATGCTGAAAATGCCACTCGACAAGAGGGCGAACTAATAAAAAATTACTTCCATAGGATTAAAACATCAGTCGACAAGGGTTGGCCTGAAAGCATTGATACTACTGTCCATGTTGATGCCGATGCACAGGCATTGGAAAAAAATATACAAACGAGACAAAGAACTCAAAAGTATATAGATTTCTTAGTTAAAGGTCTAAAACCCTTAGCTCTGAAGCAGAAAGCTCATGAATATATGATAGAAAACTCCAACGCAGGATGGGAAACGTTTACAAATCATATAATTACAAAAAATTTAACTTTTATCGTCGCCACTGATCCTGCAAACAAAGTCTCGACAGTTAAAATGACATCACTAGAGACGCAAATAAAAGAATTAACCAAATTGATTGAAAATCAAGAGGTTAGTGCCATAAACGAACAACATTTTTTTCGGCTTCGAGATCCGGATGTAAAAGGCAGACCAAATAATACACGCTTCTGTGATTATTGTAGGATGAACGGTCATTCTATCTCTAGATGCTCTAAGAAACAAGTCCAGGACGAAGTAAACAAACTTCGCAAAGAACTAACAATAAAAAATGATAGAAAAGTGTCATTTGAGACCGACTATAAACGTAACCGAAATTTCTCAAATCAAAGAAATTACAATCAAAACGATCAGTCAAGAAACAACAACTTTACAAATCAAAGCGGTCAATCAGGAAATTATGGAAATACTCCAAATTTCCAGAATCAAAGTAACTATGGTATTCGTTGTCATAGTAGCTATAGCAAAAACGGTTATCCAAGAAATAATCAACAGCCATCATACAATTCCAATCCCAGGCAAAACGAGTCATATGACGAAAAATACCCAAAACAAAATACTTTCAGAGATAATGAACAAGCTGCAAAACAGCACTATGACCAAGAGAGTAGGCAATCCAGCAGTGATCCTAGAGGTCGACAATATAATCAAAACGGATATAACCGAACAAATAGTCGTGATTCTGATAGATCAAGATCACCAGGATTCAGAATGAATCAAAATCAAGTTGAAAATACCCATTGGGTAGAAGAAGAAACTAACTGCTGTAACGCACTGACAGATATGTTTCCTTTAAACTATTAAAGTCTCCGAAGCCAAGTGAAGATAGCAATCCAAAAGCAAGGATCTATCTCAATCTGTATCATTTTGCCACCGGAGACACAAATAAAAATAGTGGACTGGAAATTGAATTTATGGTCGATCCAGGATTAACTTGTAGTATCATAAATGAACCAACTTATCGAGAATTAAACAAAATTGGACAAAAACTGGCTCTTTTCAAATCCCAAAGTAAAGCCAAAACTTACAATGGATCTGAAATCCGTATGCTTGGCCATACATTAATCGTTTCATGCTTTGATACCGACGGAAAGTATCCAACAAACCACAAAGTCTGGATAACAGAAGAACGCACTGTTAATCTTTTAGGAATCGACTTCTGTCATTTGTTTCTTAAAGCCCTTTATTTTGATATCCCAGCAGTGGAACTAAAATCCGAAGATGGTGTCATCTCATATGGCTTATTAAACAATGATAAAGAATATCCGAATGTTTCTAAAATAGAAACAATCCGACTTAAAGATCCCTATATATCTCACACCGCTCCTCACATCTGTATAAACATACAGCCGAAACATATTTTAAAAAGGGAACTACATTTCTTCCACACAAAAACACGTGTAAAACTGGTTTAATTTTCATGAATACCATTTGTGTTCAAACTGAATACAAACTCCCGATTTTAATTGAAAATCAACAAGACCACCCAGTAACCATAAATAAAGGCGTACTCGGATATGCAGTAACAGATATACAAGGAGAAGAAAAAGTATATGCAATCCAAGATTGCGATGAATTTACAGCAACTATTCTAAACGAAAGTTCAGAATTTGACAGTTGTTTCATGTTAAACACAATTGTAAACACCACACAAGAATGTACAAGCCGAGTTTATGATTCTTGTATAAAATACATCGATTTCCGACAACAATCTATATTCGAATCAAACATGCCAATTGCCCAATGCATTTCTGCTGATAGAGCCATGACCCAAGGCTTTGCCGAAATGGTCTGTCGACGATATACAAAAATGAGAGATTTTTGTAGCTATAGTAATAGCAGCGTGAACGAAATCATCGTTTATCGAGATTCCAGTTCCGGACAGATAATTTACAATCTGATCACCAAGGAAAGATATTTCCAAAAACCTACCTATCAAAGCATTCACTATGCACTAGATGAAATGAAACATCATGCGATTGCTAATAATATTCGTTGTATTGCAATGCCAAAAATTGCTTGTGGTCTAGACAAAATGGATTGGAAAGAAGTTTCTAAAATCATCGTCGATGTGTTTAGATTCTCTGGAATCACAATTTATGTCTATGTACCTGGTTGGGAACTCAATAGCATGCCTGCGCTAGAAGTATTTGATACAGAAAGTGTATCAGAAATATTTGAACAAATCGGTTCTGATATAGTTCAGGCCTGTAACAGCGAAGGCAAACTAGCTACCGATTTCTCGGCTGATGCAAAGAATCTTTGCAGACCACTCGTTCGAGACCAGTTCACAAAATATAGGAACAAAGAACAGAATGATCAACTGATCAAATGTAAATTGTAAGCGAAACATTTAAATCAGACGAACATTATACATCCAACCAGCAGAAAATTGATAGCACTATTCAATTCCTTTCCGAATTTGATTTCACACAAAGTGATCTATCGGACGATGAGTTTGTCGATCTACTCCAAATCATCATACAAGACATTGGAATAGACGGACCCAAAAGATTTCTGAAGGAGCCTTCGGCGCCAATATATAGTAATTTTGAGGAGGGAGCGCCTGCGAAAAACCCCACTTTTTTTGGTCAACTTTTTCCAAAAAGTACCTAACGCCTTTTTTGGCCTGTTTTTTTTCAAAATTTTGCCTGCGGTGTAGAAAGTTTGACCAAAACAGGGGCTTTTTAATGCTTTGGGAGAGCTCAGAAAATCAATTTGGTTGACCAAAAAAAACCCACCCCCTCAAGAAAAGCCTAATCCTAGATCCGCCCATGAAGAGAAAAATAATGCAATTGAAGAACAGGTCTGAATTCAGATAGAAAAAAATATAAATGGCTGATGTGATCTGATTTTACAAATAATTTATTATGTTTTGATCAGGACTGTAAAATTTGATTGGCATCTATATAAACTTTGATAAACATATTACGATCAACAACTTTTAATTTCTTGTTATTAATACTGAAGACTAAGATTAAGAAATGTTAAATCAGATTTACATCCAGTCAAAAGTTTGCAACAATCTAGGTAATTGCGAAAAATGCAATCCAAGGTCAACCAGAAAACACACAAATATTTTTTTTCGCTATGAGTATGTTGACTCTTTGTGTATGCCCGTACCTAGCAAATTTTCTAATTCAGATCTGAAATAATTTTTTCAAATCTAAACTTCAAATCTGAAATGGGTTGTGAAATGTTTAAATAACGCTTGGATGTTTTAAGGATGGACTATTTCAGATCTAATTTCAGACCTGAAATTTCATTTTTCTTGGTTATTTCAGTTCTGAAAAAATGTATTCCCGATCTAAATTTTGATCTGAAATTTTGTCGTTCTTAGCTATTTCAGATCTGAAAAATAAATGATTATGACTCAATTTTTGTTATTTTGATACTTTTGTATCTGACAGCTTCTGATAGCTACTAGCAGGTACGCAGCAAAGTCTCCAATGGGAGACTGCTAAAATATGTTTGCCCAAGTATGAGATAAACATTATAAAACTAAAAACTAATTTGTGTGCTCGAAACGCATAAATTATTATTTAACAAAAAATTTCTCAGATCTAGTTTCTTGCACAGAAAATCCTCTGGGTACGGGTGAAGTTTGTACTACTTTTTGAATCTCTTTTGAAGAATATCGGAATTCAGACAAGCCTACAATTGTTTGATATCTGAGGTTTCTTTGTGTGCACATATCTTTGTGTTGGACTTTCCTTCTTGAATAATCTGTTTGTTTTTCAAAAATGTGATCGGACAATTTTGTGCTAATTGCACTGGAACCGATTATCCTTGTTATATTATACGAGCGGTCTATGAATATTCCTTATGAGTAAAAGCTATTAAAACTAGACATGTTTCTGTTGACATACAGCCCCGTAACCTTGCGAAAATTTGATACTGTAAAATGCTGAGATAATGTGCTCACGTAGCCCAGTCAGTCAGCGAGATGTACATATAGACAGTATGAGCAATGCAAATTTCGGCTGGTATGAGTCTACCCGAGAGCAGATACAATTTTCAAAGAAGATTTCCGATTTCCGATTCCTATTTTTTCGTTTATATGTACGCTAAGCAACTCAAACTGAAATTTGCTAAATTAATTGCAAAATTCAGTAAAAATTAGTTATAGCCCACCCAAAATTTTTTTTGGAAAAGACAAAAAATTACAACAAAAAATGTCGAAAAAGTATCTGCTCTCGGGCAGGTTCGAACTCCCGACAGCAGTATATGTACGGCGCTCTAACCGACTGAACTACGATAGCGCAGGAACGTTTATTTATAATGTTCTAAATATTTTTGTTTCTTCATTAAGATAGAAAAAAAACGCCAATTTTTATACCGATATAGCTTGAAAAATTATTTGCCTTACTCTGAAAATAATGATGATGCTAATCTATTAAAAACGCCAAAATATTTTTTTTCTTGTTCCAGCATATCCCAGCCTCCGAGGTTCTACTCCTCTGGACGTGGCGGCCGCTTCCATCAAAAACAACGAGGAGCTAGCTCTGGCACTGCGACAACATCACCTCGAGAGCGTGATCAAATGTCTGTGTGATTGTGGTCTGGCTAGCAATCCCACCCTTCTATCCAGGGGTGTGGCAGATATCGGCTGGGATCCGGTGGTGGGCGAGAGGTTGTTGGAGTTCCTCAAAACTACTGTTTGGGTTTCGGGTGAAAGCGTGGAGCAAAATGCGTTCCAGGTAGAAAATCGCTTTGTTACCGAATGCATATTCATAAATTTGTACGAGTACATTTAAAAATGACATCCATAAAAATGGTAAGAAGGTTTTTTGATATTGCATTATTTTCAACTTCCCTCTGTGTAAACTTTCCTCGATGTTTACAGAAAAAATTAAATCTTGGTTTTGATAATGCTATTCAAGATCATTGGAAAAACTCTAATTTTCATTTATTGTCTTCTAAATCTAGATTGTGAGAATGCTTGTTCGACGACCGGAGTGTCTTGGACCCGCTCTGCGCGCTGGCGGCAAAGGACTTCTAGAAGCCGTCGGTGAAGCAATTGAATTGCAAAAAGCTCACAACACAGTTCTGTTTCCACCTCCAATGTCGGGTGGCTCCGAGGGAAAATCGGGCGATGAACGAGAAGTGGGAACGGAGTCGGTGATTGGTCACGATGACCCCAGTTCAGTCAGTTGGACCGACGACCGATCCCTGATAGTGTTCAGCTCCTCGGGAGACCGGGGAGCGGGAGATACCCTCTCGATGCGGAAGGATCAGATTTCGTTCAAGTCAGGACCTCATTCGGCTATCATCATTAATTTAGAGTAAATAATTTGAAATGTAGACTAATTTGAATTTTTTTCTAAGCGAAGGCAATTGTAATCGGAGGCTACGCGAATGGCGATTGATGTTTTACAGTTTTCTAATTTCTCTCACGTCAACTTTTTATGGTTTTTCTTCGTATTTGGAACAAAAGACGAGTTTGGAAGAAACGCTTTTAGACCGACTCCGGACGACGTGCAAATTGGCGACGCAGTTCTCGACTTTTACGCGGCGTTGATCAATCTGCTGGGGTGTTGCTCGCCCGCCGAACACCACACAGAGAAGACAGGCAGTGGGGCAAGTGGTGGGGCTGATCAGAACGGGGGAGGGGGAGGCGGAGGAGGAGAAACTCAGAGGGTGAGGGCTATTCTGCAGAGCCTGGTCCCCATGGAAGACTTGAAAGGAATCTTGGGCATGAACTTCAGGTATAAAATTAGAAAAAGCCACTGGCTGAAGGTGAATTTATGGCAAAATAAAAACTGGTTTGAGTTAGAAAAGACAATCATAGAATTTTTCATGATAAAAGTTTCATCGCCAAAAAAATTTTGTGATCAACTAACATGGTGTCGACATAGAAAGTGCAATATACTAAAGCATATCATTTCAATAGCGCATAGAAGTCTGAATATAAGAAATGTTTTCAGTCTTCCTTCCATGGAAACTCTTCACCAAGATCCCCCCGCTGAGTCATCACAAGCGGCTGACGAGGCGCGCAACAGCAAGACGTGGGCAGGGCCCCTGAAGCCCCACCACAAGGCATCCATTGTGCGCTTCTGGGACAGAGTGTATGGAATAAGCGAGGCGGAGACACTAGAACAACTCATCTCAATCGGATTTTTGCCTGACCTGAGAACTGCTGTCATTCTAGATACGGTTAGTGTGAACAAAAGGCAGCGAGCCAAAACAATTTCAGTCAATACTCATTTGGCTGAAGAGCAAAAATAGCTATCAGACACCCGTATCTTTGTTTTTTTTTGCACACAGTAAATCTAATTTTGATGTCTGAAACAAAGTTTGGATTCTCATCCGATGTCAAGACTAGATAACGCAACAAAGACATTGTTCACTCAAATTTTTCTGTGTTGCAACTGAGCTTGGAACAAAATTTTCCAACTTTGATAGTTTTAAATAAAAATTTTGTTTAAATTGAAAAATTTTTCTACCCGAGTTGTTGAGAAAACATATCGCGATAAATCAATGCGACTGTTCTAAACGGCGCCATAGGGTTTTTCATAATAAAATAAGAGAAAATTGTTTTCAACAATGGGCGCAAATTATTTTCAGCCCTCAGTTGCGGGTGCGGACTTCTCAGTGGCTCTCAACCGGTACATCTGCCAGACAGTACTACCGCTACTCACTCGCAACGCACGACTGTTCGAAGGGGCCGGCGAGTCCTCCTCTAACCTTGTCGAAACCCTGCTGATAACCATCTACAGATTCTACAGATGCAGAACTCTGTCCAATGCTCAGAGGGGCATCGTGAACTCTTTTTTCTCCACCGTGATTCAGTATGTCAGGCCTCAGACTATTCACAATTTTCTGCTTACGTTGTCGCAACATCTAGCCGACTTGGAACCGTATAACGAGGTTGTTTACGAGGTATGTTGACACATTTAGACTTCAATTTCTCATCATCAATAGGAAATTAGAACGCAGCGCATGAAGTTGCCATAATTCATAATGACTTTGGCAATGCTTCGGCGCTCAAACTTGGAAATCCGTGAAAAACTAAAAAAAATGATGAAAAGAGAGCAGCTGGAAAAAAATGCTACTTCTTAATCTGAAAGTTTCAAATAAAACTAGGACTCGTCCAACCCACTTTGCATGGTTATCAATTTTATGGTGTTGTGAGTGTTTTTACAAGGTTAAGTATGTTGCATGAAAAAGCTTGTCATGGCTTAATTAGACAGTATGTCAATTTTCATACCAACCAGACAATAATAATAAACATATTATTTGTAAAAATTCGCAGGTGGGGGAAAAGTGAAAAAGAAAAAAAGCCACAAATATATTTTATCGCTAAGTCAGTAAATCATATTTCTGATTTAATAAAATGTCTCGACAGGCATTCAAAAGACAGCAAAGCAAACCCGGCCTGTAATCTATTAGTTTTCCGTAGTTATGTATCAAAATAGAGCTCTCGGGTAGTCCAGTCAGTGGTACAAGCAACAAGTTTATAGGCAGCATTGACAGTGTCTATCCAAAAACTCACCTAAGTTTTTCTCTAACTACTTCGTTTTTTTTATATGTTTTGAGAGCAACTCGCAAAATTACGCTGCCAAAATTTTTTTTGGCATTAGGGGTTCTTAGAGAATCAATCAAACAATTCCACAAAAGTAAACGCAAAGCAAAATATAGGTCAAAAGCCTGAAAGGTCAGTAAACAAATCAATGGAAAAAGGCGTAAATTTGCAACTCTCTCAGCTCAGTCGGTTAGAGCACCGTACTTTTAAACAGAAATAGCTATGCGGATGTCGGCAGATCTAGCCTGCACGGGAGCAAATTTTCGGTTTTCTCGTCAGACTTTCAAAGAAGCACTTGCAGAAAACACGCCAATTTTAAGATTTACCGATTTGAAACAAAATCTTTTATTAAAAAAAGTAGCCTTACTTTGCAAGATTATCTAGGACTCTGAAATGTCTTCACGTCACCAAAAATCACAATTTCCGAGGGCAGACAAAAATTCACACTGTCGTTTAACTTAAAATAATTAATTTACCGTTTCCATTTATGGAAAAATGCTTATCATATAATTTCATACAAGTCCATACGTACAGAAATCTGCCATAAGCGTTTTTTCATATATCGAAATTATGTGATGAGCAACTTTTCATAAATCAAACGTTAATTTTTCTCGAGTTTTGCTAAATGTTTATGTGTTTTATCCGAACATGCAATAACCAAAGGTTTTCACAGACAAGAAATCTCTTTGGTTGAGGGGAGGTAATCTCACAGATGTTTGCATTTGAATTGTAATTGTATGAGATAATAATTTATAATTCACGCAGAACAATGAATGAAACCTTAATTTTTTTATTTGGCTCGATAATTTTTTGTCAAAATATTTACTTGCAAAAATTGTCGGCCAATTTATTTTGACAAATCGAAGAAACTCATACAATATAAAAAACTTGAAGTCTGAAAACTGGGTTCCTAAATAATTTTTTTAGCTATTGTTTTGTATGAAAAAATCAGCCTGTGCTATAAACAAAAAACTTTTGGACCAAGTTAACAGTGTTCCTTTCAAATCAACATAGGAGGAAAAGTTCCCTTTTTAAAAAGTTGTATTCTTCAGGCAACCAACTTTTAGCATAAAGCATTCGTCTTTTACTTGCCATTTGATTTTAAGGGGGAGATGTTCACATGGACCAAAGTTTTTTCTTGAAGTTTGAACTTTTTCAGATTTTTTTTTGCAGCAGGGTGAAAACTTCTTTTTATACAAAGCAGAGTAGAAATTGTATGTTAAACATTTTTTTCCATGCACTCAGTGTAAGAAGTTGCATATGTTTTGTGTAGAATTGTATGATCAACACGGATTAAGAGGTGGTCGGTTTCTGAAAAGCAATTTTTTTTTTCGTTTTTTTTCAGCAATGATGAGGATGTTTGAAGAAACTATGATCTAGCCGCAAATTTTTCCAAACACTTATTAAAACTCAAAAAAATAGTCTTCAATCAAAAGTAAAATAAATTACGACCTTTTAGTCGTCGTTTGGATTGCAAAACGGAGTTTTATAGAATTTTTCCAAGACGAGTTCGTCTAAGACTTTTTCATTATTTGTTCATCATCATTGGTTATAGCAGTGAAGTAGTTATGGCCTGTTTAGTTCAAGTGAAAGTAGGCTCAGTAAAATTTTATGCAGAGCTTGATTACAACATCGATAATTTCAGTCAAGTTTAAAATTGTATTCGTGTGGAAGTTTTTGAATTTGTTTTGAAATTTTTTGGTTCCTAAATGGCGCTAAAAACTCCAAAACTAACTTCATTTGAGTAAAACTAAGTTTTCACGGCTTCATTCAAGCTGAATTAAGCTTTTGCAAGTCTGCACGCTTACCTCATTAGCTCATAATTAGACCAAAAATCAAAAATTACAAACCGGTTTTTTGTCGACCCGGTTTTTCAACTTTGTTCCAATCACTAATGAAATGGATTTAATCACGAATAAAAAGGCTTTGATATATCACTCGACTCATTCCGATGATTATTTGTGGTAGCTGATTCTAGGTGGAAAGCAAAAAAAAACTAAACCACACTCGAATACAAAGTTCTTCCTTTTTTCTCAAATAGTCAGTTTAAATGTGTTGTTCTTAAATTGAGTTGACATTAAAAAGTGATGAGAAAAAAAATGGGTTCGAATATAAGCAAATTGGTATTTTATGAAGTAAAAAATGTCATTTTTTAGCAATCGTACACGTAATTATGTTTTTATATGCACAAGTTTTCGTGGATTACTTTTCTTAAATTTTGTAAGGCTATATAAGAGGCCTGTAAGTTTGAAAGGTTAACTTTAAGAAACTTTTGTTTTCATCAGTTTAATAATTAAATTTACAATTTTTTTAGTTTTTTTGTTAATCTGAATCATACTGTATATGCTGCTTGGTAACAAAATTCTTTGATTATTGATAATCCGAATAAACTATAAAACTTGATAAAAAGATGCAAATGTGAAATTGTATGCGAATGTGAAAATAAAAAGCGGACGGTTGAAACTTCTATGCTATGAAAAGTAGAACACTATAGTTTAAAAAAAGTTTAAAAAAGATTTTTCTATGTCAACTTGTTGTACCGTTTGCAGCCTTAATCAGAAAACAAAACTACATCTTGTAGGTTTTCCGAAACTCAATGGCGTTAAATTTTTAATGAATACGATTCCATTTGAGCCTGTTTTAGGCTCTGAGTATCTTTCTACAACACAACAAAGACTACTACTCCGGGGTTGAAAGTGTCTCGGCCACTTACGGAATGGTATCCGACGAGGAGCGAAGTGTTCTCTTGCGCATGTTTGAGACATTCTTCGACGCCCTCATCAAAAACGGCAAAATAGAAACAATCGAAAAAGCAATGCCCGCTCTTCTGTCCCTCGTCGGCACAATTCCCCCAGATTATCTGAACAAAAGTGGGGCCACTTTGTCGATTAAGTCGCGCATGAAGAGCTCGGTGGATCCGAGAACCGGCCAATATATCCCTCGCACCACAAACTTTGAGTCGATTAACTTGAACAAGGACTTGGCGGACTTCACAGCAAAGTATGCGGAGCAAGTACACGATGAATGGTCCAAAGAATTGGTTAGCAATTGTTTTTTTTTTTTTCAAAAATTTTGCAAAGATCAAATGACTTTTTGGTTTGTCATCTTTGTAAAGGTTTTATAAGTGGAAGTTGCTTCTGAAAAAAAATTTAAATTGGCTTCGAAGGGTTACACGTGTCTTCATTTGTTAATTACAGAAGTTAAATGACCAAAGTTAGTCGCGAATTTAACTTTAAATTGAAATTTTTTACTTAAAATTATTTTATGATGAAGCTGTTCATGGCTCATAAGAGTTATAAAAATATAAACATTGAAAAAAATCAAGAAATATTAACAGCTGGACGACGGTTGGACTTACGGCATGAAATATGACGACGACAATAAAAAGTTGTCCAATCTGAAGCCATACAAGCTGTTACACGACGCCGACATTGAAGACTACAAGAATAAAATTCGACAGAAGTTGCGAATTGTACTCTCATTGGGGTTCCAAATCGATAAGAAGTTCAACCCCAACACTGATGTTCCCCAGGGGAACACTGGGACTATCGGAGGGGGAATTAGGGGGAGGAAAGCGTCTACAAACACTTCCGGAAATCAACAAGCACAAGTGGTCGCGCCGCCTTCCATTGCAGTAAGTTTTTTTTTTAATCTAAAAAGAAACTCACAGTTTTTTTGAAAATGCGATAATAGGTGTTTTTTATTCAAAAATGTCTCGACCAACAGCTTTGAATAAAAACAACTCTTTGTATTTTATCTAGTTTTGATCAATTTTTTGTATTTTGAACTAACAATTATATTTTAATGATTTTAAATCAATAACATTGTTTTTCATATAATCAATTTATTTTCAGAAAAAGTTTTGCTTCAAAGCACTCGGACTTTGAGTTTAATGTGAAGTTTTCTTAGTAAACAGCCGCGTGGCTGGTCTAGCATTTCCACGCGAGGAACGGGGAATGAAAGGGTTTCGAAGGGGTTTGAATGATTTGGCAACCTTTTCATAGGCTTACCGAACTGATTTTGCGAGCTCTCTTTTAACGACAAAAAAGACCCAACCTAGCTGCAAAAAGACAAATGTCTTGCGCCGCAGGTAGATTTTAGTTTTCCAATGAAAATTCAACAAGGGTTTTCAATTGCTGTTATTTTTTATTAGAACTTCCGTCCGAATCCACTGGATCTGTCGTCTGTGGCGCTGTCCAATGAACTCATAGATTTGGCCAACCTGGTCGGAGAGTGCTGTCATGATCTGTCCAACAACGCAATCGCCAACGACCACTCCAGACGCAGTGAGTTGCCTCAATTTTTTTATGATTATGTTTCAGTTTTTGTTCCAACCATTTGAAAAATGGGGAGGAACTTTGTATTCGGGTGTGTTTTAGTTTTTTCTTGTTTTTCTTTTTGTTTTCCACGCAAAATTGACTCTGTTGAATGATATATCATGTCAAAGCCCTTTTAGTCGTTACTCGAACCAAAATTTCAAAAAAATTTCAAAAAAAAATTTCCAGTGCCGAGAAAAACCGCTTTGAAACTTTTGGGTTTTCGTCTTATTTCGAGTGAATTAAACGAGCGAGCAGGCTTAAATCAGCTTAATTATGCTTAAATTAAAGCCAGTCAAATTACTTTTAAGAGTTTTTAGCTCCGTTTTAGCAACCAAAATCTTCTGCAGAAAAATTTGAATTGAAAAAGTGTTCATTATTTAATTTTTTTTTGCTTAGTTTGTTTTTTAGTCATTTTTCTATTAAAAATTGTCCAATTGGCCTACTTCTCTGTGTCTGTCTAAAATGCCTAAATTTTAGTCTTACGTCAGATCCCTTTATTACATTATATTGACCTTATCTAGAACATTACCGTCTGATAAATTTTCCCAAAATGAATTTTGATGAATTTGACGAAATTTTTGTTCTCGATGTGGTTTTTTCTTCTGACAAATTTTGGTTTCTGAATTTGATTTTTTAAGTTAAAAGCTAGTGATGTTTAAACTCTAACCGAAAAGCTAGTGATGTTTCAACTGTAATTAAAAATATTTTTCCTCTGAGACCAGTTTTGTAGATTATGAAGAATTTTTTAAACGCTCAATTGGCCAATTTAGGAGAGTAAACGCGCAATATATGTTATCCTTTAACCTGAAGTTGAGACTAACAGGTTGGTTTTCAACACGTTTCCAGACAAATATTGTCACTTCGTATTGTACACAGCCTGTAACAGGACAAATTAAAGAAAAAGTCCATTTTAAAAAATAATTTGAGCAGTTTTGTAAATCAACGTTATTGGGCAGTATGAATTTTCAAAAACTTTCATAAATTATTTTGGTCAAGAAACATTTCAAAAACAAGGATAGCCGGTTACTGTGCAAGAAGCACAGAATGTTCGGACCACAGTCTCAAAAAATTGTTTTTTTTTAATACAAATTGTGTCATTTTTTCAGCATGTTGTGAAGAAAAAAAAATCTGAACGAAAAAATAGAATTTAGGCGTTTTTGAGATTCATAGTATTATAGGTCATTTAAAAAACAGTTTTTGAAGAAAAATTACGTGGAAAAAAGAAAAAATATATATATTCTGAAAAATTTTAATTTTTTTTTGCAAAAGTATTTAGAAATTTTAAGTTTTTGATTACCAAAATTGCGCTAAAAACTCCAGAAATTACCTTTACTTAAACAAAACTAAGTTTTCAGGCTCCGTTTTAGCAACCAGAAACTTCTGCAGAAAAATTTGAATTGAAAAAGTGTTTATTATTTAATTTTTTTTGCTTAGTTTGTTTTTTAGTCATTTTTCTATTAAAAAATTGTCCAATTGGCCTACTTCTCTGTGTCTGTCTAAAATGCCTAAAATTTAGTTTTACGTCAGTTCCCTTTATTAAATCATGTTGACCTTGTCTAGAACATTACCGTCTGATAAATTTTCCCAAAATGGGTCACCTTTCATCAAAAAAAACGTCAATCAAAAAAAATTTTGATGAATTTGACAACATTTTTGTTCTCGATGTGGTTTTTTCTTCTGTTCAATTTTGGTTTCTGAATTTGATTTTTTCAGTTAAAAACTAGTGATGTTTTAACTCTAACTGAAAAACTAGTGATGTTTCAACTCTAATTAAAAATATTTTTCCTCTGAGACCAGTTTTGTAGATTATGGAGAATTTTTTAAACGCTCATTTGGCCAATTTAGGAGAGTAAACGCGCAATATATGTTATCCTTTAACCTATATTTGAGGCTAACAGGTTGGTTTTCAACACATTTCCAGACAAATATTGTCACTTCGTATTGTACACAGCCTGTGACAGGACAAATTAAAGAAAAAGTCCATTTTACAAAATAATTTAAGCAGTTTTGTAAATCAACGTTATTGGGCAGTCGGAATTTTCAAAAACTTTCATAAATTATTTTCGTCAAGAAACATTTCAAAAACAAGGATAGCCGGTTTAAGTGCAAGAAGCACAGAATTTTCGGACCACAGTCTCTAAAATTGTTTTTTTTTTTTTAATACAAATTGTGTCATTTTTTCTGCATGTTGTGAAGAAAAAAAAATCCCAATGAAAAAATAGAATTTAGGCGGTTTTGAGATTCATAGTATTATAGGTCATTTGAAAACCAGTTTTTGAAGAAAAATGACTTGGAAAAAAGAAAATATATATATATTTTGAAAAATTTTAATTTTTTTTTGCAAAAGTATTTAGAAATTTTAACTTTTTGATTCCCAAAATTGCGCTAAAAACTCTAGAAACTACCTTTACTTAAACAAAACTAAGTTTTTAGGCTCCGTTTTAGCAACCAAAATCTTCTGCAGAAAAATTTGAATTGAAAAAGTGTTTATTATTTAGTTTTTTTTGCTTAGTTTGTTTTTTAGTCATTTTTCTATTAAAAAATTGTCCAATTGGCCTACTTCTCTGTGTCTGTCTAAAATGCCTAAATTCTAGTTTTACGTCAGATCCCTTTATTACATCATATTGACCTTATCTAGAACATTACCCTCTGATACAGTTTCCCAAAATGGGTCACCTTTCATCAAAAAAAACGTCAATCAAAAAAAAATTTGATGAATGTGACGAAATTTTTGTTCTCAATGTGGTTTTTTCTTCTGACAAATTTTGGTTTCTGAATTTGATTTTTTCAATTAAAAGCTAGTGGTGTTTCAACTCTAAACGAAAAACTGGTGATGTTTCAACTCTAATTAAAAATAATTTTCCTCTGAGACCAGTTTTGTAGATTATGAAGAATTTTTTAAACGCTCAATTGGCCAATTTAGGAGAGTAAACGCGCAATATAAGTTATTCTTTAACCTAAAGTTGAGGCTAACAGGTTGGTTTTCAACACGTTTCCAGACAAATATTGTCACTTCGTATTGTACACAGCCTGTGACAGGACAAATTAAAGAAAAAGTCCATTTTAAAAAATAATTTAAGCAGTTTTGTAAATCAACGTTATTGGGCAGTCGGAATTTTCAAAAACTTTCATAAATTATTTTTGTCAAGAAACATTCCAAAAACAAGTATAGCCGGTTACTGTGCAAGAAGCACAGAATGTTCGGACCACAGTCTCAAAAATTTGTTTTTTTTTAAATACAAATTGTGTCATTTTTTCAGCATGTTGTGAAAAAACAATCTGAACGAAAAAATAGAATTTAGGCGTTTTTGAGATTCATAGTATTATAGGTCATTTAAAAAACAGTTTTTGAAGAAAAACTACATGGAAAAAAGTAAAAATATTTATATTTTGAAAAATTTTAATTTTTTTTTGCAAAAGTATTTAGAAATTTTTAAGTTTTGATTCCCAAAATTGCGCTAAAAACTCCAGAAATTACCTTTACTTAAACAAAACTAAGTGTTCAGACTCCGTTTTAGCGACCAAAATCTTCTGCAGGAAAATTTGAATTAAAAAAGTGTTTATTATTTAATTTTTTTTGCTTAGTTTGTTTTTTAGTCATTTTTCTATTAAAAATTGTCCAATTGGCCTACTTCTCTGTGTCTGTCTAAAATGCCTAAATTTTAGTCTTACGTCAGATCCCTTTATTACATTATATTGACCTTATCTAGAACATTACCGTCTGATAAATTTTCCCAAAATGGGTCACCTTTCATCAAAAAAAACCGCCAATCAAAAAAAAATTTGATGAATTTGACCAAATTTTTGTTCTCGATGTGGTTTTTTCTTCTGACCAATTTTGGTTTCTGAATTTGATTTTTTCAGTTAAAAGCTAGTGATGTTTTAACTCTAACCGAAAAGCTAGTGATGTTTCAACTCTAATTAAAAATATTTTTCCTCTGAGACCAGTTTTGTAGATTATGGAGAATTTTTTAAACGCTCATTTGGCCAATTTAGGAGAGTAAACGCGCAATATATGTTATGCTTTAACCTAAATTTGAGACTAACAGGTTGGTTTTTGACCCATTTCCAGACAAATTTTGTCACTTCGTATTGTACACAGCCTGTGACAGGACAAATTAAAGAAAAAGTCCATTTTACAAAATAATTTAAGCAGTTTTGTAAATCAACGTTATTGGGCAGTCGGAATTTTCAAAAACTTTCATAAATTATGTTGGTCAAGAAACATTTCAAAAACAAGGATAGCTGGTTACTGTGCAAGAAGCACAGAATGTTCGGACCACATTCTCAAAAAATTGTTTTTTTTTTTTAATACAAATTGTGTCATTTTTTCTGCATTTTGTGAAGAAAAAAAAATCCCAACCAAAAAATAGAATTTAGGCGTTTTTGAGATTCATAGTATTATAGGTCATTTGAAAAACATTTTTTGAAGAAAAATGACATGGAAAAAAGAAAATATATATATATTTTGAAAAATTTTAAACTTTTTTTTGCAAAAGTATTTAGAAATTTTAACTTTTTGATTCCCAAAATTGCGCTAAAAACTCCAGAAACTACCTTTACTTAAACAAAACTAAGTTTTCAGGCTCCGTTTTAGCCACCAAAATCTTCTGCAGAAAAAATTGAATTGAAAAAATGTTTATTATTTAATTTTTTTTTGCTTAGTTTGTTTTTTAGTCATTTTTCTATTAAAAAATTGTCCAATTGGCCTACTTCTCTGTGTCTGTCTAAACTGCAGAAATTATAGTCTTACGTCAGATCCCTTTATTACATCAAACTGACCTTATCTAGAACATTACCGTCTGATAAATTTTGCCAATATGGGTCACCTTTCATCAAAAAAACGTCAATCAAAAAAACTTTTGATGAATGTGACGAAATTTTTGTTCTCGATGTGGTTTTTTCTTCTGACCAATTTTGGTTTCTGAATTCGATTTTTTCAGTTAAAAGCTAGTGATGTTTTAACTCTAATCGAAAAGCGAGTGATGTTTCAACTCTAATTAAAAATATTTTTCCTCTGAGACCAGTTTTGTAGATTATGGAGAATTTTTTAAACGCTCATTTGGCCAATTTAGGAGAGTAAACGCGCAATATATGTTATCCTTTAACCTAAAGTTGAGGCTAACAGGTTGGTTTTCAACACGTTTTCAGACAAATATTGTCACTTCGTATTGTACACAGCCTGTGACAGGACAAATTAAAGAAAAAGTCCATTTTAAAAAATAAATTGAGCAGTTTTGTAAATCAACGTTATTGGGCAGTCGGAATTTTCAAAAACTTTCATAAATTATTTTTGTCAAGAAGCATTTCAAAAACAAGGATAGCCGGTTACTGTGCAAGAAGCACAGAATGTTCGGACCACAGTCTCAAAAAATTGTTTTTTTTTTAATACAAATTGTGTCATTTTTTCTGCATGTTGTGAAAAAAAATCTCACTGAAAAAATAGAATTTAGGCGTTTTTGAGATTCATACAATTATAGGTCATTTAAAAAACAGTTTTTGGAGAAAAATGACATGGAAAAAAGAAAAAGTGTATATATTTTGAAAAACTTTAATTTTTTTGCAAAAGTATTTAGAAATTTTAAGTTTTTGATTCCCAAAATTGCGCTAAAAACTCCAGAAACTACCTTTACTTAAACAAAACTAAGTTTTCAGGGCTGAAAATAAGTTATTGTAAGCATATACGGTCATCTTATTAGCTCGAAATTAGACAAGAAATCAAAAATTTCAAACCGGTTTTTCTCGACACTGAGAAACTTTTCGGAAGTTTTTTAATGTGGTTTGGTTCATGACCAAAAGGGCCTTAATACGATATATCACTCAACTTATTCCGATGATTATTTGTGGCAGCTGTTTTTGCGTGAAAAACAAAAAACTAAAACGCACCCCAATTCACGCTCCAAAGGACAAAATATATCGCGCATTATTTATCCCAACTTGAATTTTAGTAGTAAGAATGTGTCCCAGATTCAATCCTCATAATTTTATGTCAAATTGTCACTGGTAATATTTCGTTTTGGTCAAGTATCGGATATCAATATCTTTCTGATGTTATAAAAATTTGCGTCATAGTGGCTGGATGAATTTTTGTTGAAAAAAACTGAAGAAAAAAATTACCCGAGCACAAATAATGTTATAGCCAGTAGCGGATTTAGGGGGAGGGCGGACGCCCCCCCCCCTCTCTCAGGGATTCGACCCCCTGCCGACCCAAAGGGTTCTCCCTTTGTACTCTTTTGAGATATCCATCTTTGGTTGACTGACGCTAAAGTTTTTCTAAAGGTGCCTTTGGCGCCAATCTATACTAATTTTGAGGGGGGAGTGCGCGCCGAAAAAACGCAATTTTTTGGTCGAAACTTTCCAAAAAGTGCCTAAAACATCTTGAAAAAGGTGATGCGGCGTGGGAAGTTTGGTCAATCTAGGGTCTTTATAACTAAAAAAAAGTCGACAAAATGTTCAAAATTTTTTTTGGAAATCCGCCAGCCCCCCTCGAGAAATTCCTAGATCCGCGCCTGGTTATAGCTATCCTCGGATTTTATGAGCTGTCATTTGTTGCGAGTTGTGGTGGTATAGTGCTTTGGCTAGATTCAGCTCCTTTCTTTGTTTTTTTTAAATGTAATCTGCTTTTCAGCGCGTGCGGTGGAACACACATTTGTGCCATATGAGTTGCTGACGATGGAGGAGAAGGAGAGAGAGTGGAAAGGATCCCACAACTTCATAAAGTTCCTCATTGTCTGCGGGTTCCAACTCACCAGGTCAGCCATATAGCCCCTACCCCTCACAAATTGACAGCCAAACATTTAGAAAGCCACGCCTAACATACGGACAAAAATTAATTATCAATTTTCCGACCACGCTCGACAGACCACCGTGTTGCCGTGTTGTTTTCAACTGGGTAATTTCTCAATGAGAGACAAAAATTAAATTTGTTTCATTTTTTCAAGTTTTTTCGTTGATTATCGGAACATTCTGTGCTTCTTGCACGTCAACTGACTAGCCTTGTTTATGCACTGTCTAATGTCTACATTGTTCTCTTCCAGGTCGAGTGAGTTCGAGAACTTTGGGAGTGACGCGTCGTTGTCTTCTGGGCTGAATCGCCCGACATCTTCCCCCTCCCAGCCCCCACCTGTCAATCAGAAGAGGTTCTCTCTGCTGCTGTTGGAGAAAGTGATGGTGGCTGCGGAGAGGACTGCGAAGGCTATCAAGGACCAAGCAAAGGCAGCCGCCAATCTAGGTCAGCTTTTTGCAATCTAAACTTTGCCAAAATAATCTTTCATTTTAAAGAAATCCGGGAAAGCATTGGTAAATCAGAACTGATAATAAAAATAATCTTATTGCCAAAAATTGAAAATAAAAAATCTTAACTTATTACCCAAAAAATTGAAAAATGAAAAATCTTAACTTATTGCCAAAAATTAAGAAACATCATTATTGTGAGTATTTTACATTGGGATAACTAATTCCAGCAGAACTCTCGAACTGAACATTTGTCAGCATTAAATTTGTCTTTATTCTATTATATATTTTTTTGCACATTAATTTTGTTTTTTATATTTTAGTTCATGTATTTGCTTCATTCCTTAGTGTAATGTTTTAGAAACATCTTAAATGCTGCAATTAAGAGTATGATTTTTGTGTCTAAGAGTTTCTAAATAAATTTAGTCGAAGGAGCTCAGTTATCGCAACACCCACCAATGCCCGAGATAGTAGGAAAGTTTTCCCATGTTGTCATCCCTGTAATACACCACTACGTCTTCTTATATCGAACTTACTACACCGGGACAAAAGAGAACAACAGTCAGAGATCAGCCGACCAGACGCCCTCATTTTCGGCCAATCGACCGGGCGTTGTTTTTGCATCTGTGAGAGAAAAGGAGCTCCTGTTGGGTCTGTTTTGCAGGTTGTTTGCGTCGCTCAGAGAGCAGAAAAATAGTAGAAGTGCGGAAATCAGAAGTGAGATGAGTGGCTATATTGACTGCATCAAAGCTGTAGCTGAGGCACTAGAGTTCTCGTGAGTTCATTCGGATTACTAGAGTTCTCGTTCGGATTAAACTTTGTTAGCCTTCATATGAGGCTCAATTTGGTAAACCGGTAGCTTTAGCTTAAATTTTAACTCACAAAAAGGATCCGAAAATGCCTAGCTTTTGAAGTGAAATTTTGAGTCCGATTGTCGCAAAAAAAATACTCCTTATTATTTCTGGTAAAATTTTAAGCAGTTTTTGTTATCATCTTTTTGCCTAATGTCCAACAATTATGAGAGAAACGCAATTATATTTTCCAATTTGATTCGTTTTGTTCTCAGATAATTTAAATCAGCGTTTTATTTGCTCTCTACACTGAAAGGCAAAATTAAATTAAAATTTTAAATTTTCTTTGCTAAAATACTTATTACTCGAGGGTGTCTTTAAATTTTTTCGATTGGAAAAAGATTAGATGATACTTTTATCGAAAGTAGTTGTTGTCATCTTTAGTCTACACAAAAATTAAAAATTATTTAACAATTTTGTCCGCTGCTTATGATCTACAAAATAACAGTCTTTTCGTGAAATTTTTTCGAAAATTTTTTCCATTAAAGCAAAAAGTATAACTCAAATTGCTAGTCAAAAATATGCAACAAAAGCTATAAACAATAAATACGATAATGTTCCTGAATCTAAAGTTTCAGAAAATCTTGTCCTCTATGAAATTTCATTTACATAATAAAAAAAATTCGCATCAAGCAACGAGTTATTTTGACTAATTAACTGACCTATGCTGTGCGTTATCGAAAAACTAGCAGGTAATATTTATCTTAAATTTGGCAAACTAATAATTTTCAAACCTCTGTTGCAATTTTGTAGCAAGTAATAAAGTTTTAACTTTTCTGGTGAAACTAAAACCACCTGAGCACAAATTTTCCGTCGCTTTCTTCAAAAAACGGATCAATGAAGATATACTATTTCCCCGAAAGATCCTATTGCTGCGTAGAATTTTCAACTATATTTACCTTCAAACTAGAAGCCTTGTTTTTGTTTCCCCGTTGTCTTGGGCGTAAAAAAAGAGGTTAAAGCTTTAAAATTTGGCTAATTTACACAAAACCTAATATAAACAAGGATAGCCAGTTGCTGTGCAAGTCGCGCATAAATTTTCGACCTCAATTTTCCCAAAAAAAAATTTTCCACTAAAAGTTTGAATAATTTTTTTAAAAAATGTTTTTACCAGAATAGAACCAAATAAAGCTTCCAAAACTAGTTTTTTTCTAATAAAATCAAAATTTTTAGCTTTGTTTCTAATTTATATTAATAACAAATGTTACTCGATTACTTTACTCGCTCGAAAATAGGACGGAAGATTAAAAATTTCAAACCGGTTTTTCTCGACACTAGGAAAAATTTTTGGAATATTGTCATTCGAATTACGACTAGAATAGCTTTATTATGATATATCACCCAAAGCTGTCCTATGTCTATTAGTGATACCTAATTTTCCGTTTAAAACAAAAAAAAACGAGAAAAAAAACGAAAAAAAGTAACTAAAACGCACACGAATACAAAATTCCCCCGCTTCCTAATGGTCGGAAAAAATATATTGATATCTGATTTTGTCACTTTTCTTAGAGCTGAAGAATTTTAATTGCATTGTAAAATCACTTTTCGTTCATTTTCGAGCTCACCAAAAGTCATGAATGTAGTGAGTACTCTTTTATAGGTCTTGGTGATTTCTAGTCTTAAAATTTGTTCAAGCTAAAATTTGATTTTTCGCAATTTGACTTTTGATTTCTTTTTTAATTCCGTTCTTTTCTATTGTTAAAAAGAAGGCAAATTCCATATTTGAAAACCAAAAGTGTAAAAGTCCCGAAAAATGTTATCGACTTATATTGCTCCAGTTATCGACTTATAAAAATCACATAATGATCCAGTTTTTCTTTCTCAATTTTGGTTTATTTTATCGAAAAATTGTCAATCAAAAATGTGTAAACTGCTCCTGAAGTTCAAAGAATTTTAAAACTTTATTTTTTTTCTGTTTCCTTGCATTCATTGACTCTTTTCCAACTGCCTGTTGGCTATATTCTGTGTATTTCAATTACAGACAACTAATTTTTTGTCTCAAATTTTTTTCTCGTTTTTTATGAAGCCACTACGACATCTTCTCCTCCGGGTTCATTAAAAATTCTGCTTTGATGCAAGCTTGGCTTAATGAACATCTTCGATGATGACTTTTTGGTTTATGTTGGCAGAGCGATCGCCGGAAGCAGCAACCCAACAGTGCTTGGACTTGTTCACATCTTCTTCCTATCAGTCGTGAACGAACTCAAGTCATTCAGACAACAGATGATCTCCTTGGCGGAAATGATGACAGTCAAGGAAACGCGAGATCTGAAATTCATTTTCAAGACTGTGCTGCCTGTGTTGAAGCTTGTGCTTCGAAGAATCGGCTCCAAAGACATGCTTGGCAAATCCATCATACGTTAGCTTTTTTCATCACTAACAAAATGTTATCAAATACATATGGGCGCAGTTATTAGATCATATCTACTGTTGCGTTTCATTAAAATTCTAGAGTCACAAGAAAATTAGAACAATCACCAAAGTGTATCGAATGTTGAAGAAAGTAATCCTGCTCCATTTTTAGGTTAAGTTGATTTTAAACTCTTAAATTCACAGAGCATTCCTGTCTGCAAACTTTTTGATTGAAAAGTAATTCAAAACTTTTAAATTTTTTATCTTCCAAAATGGAACAAAAATACATAAAAACTTAAAAATTATATTATATTAGGTAAAGTAAGATGTACAAATAAATATCACAAAGTCTTGTCACCTTGTGACTCAAGCCTCATCGCAAAATATGTAATCTGAGATGTTTCCTGATGTTTATTTGTGTTGTTTTTGTTAGTTGGCGAGACTCAATTCTGCTGCTATGAGCTCCTGGAACAGATGTACCTTCTAGGAGCAGACCAGCAACTCTGCAACGCTAAGTAAATTTTCTTATAAAAAGTTCTCGAGTTCACTGATTTTCTTCCTGGCAGACGTTGAAGATGGTTCAATTTTAGCCAATAAATTAGCTTTCAATCAAAAATGTAATTTTCAACAGATTATTAGGAGTAATGAGCGTATAGTGAGTACTCTTATATAGGTCTTGCTGATTTCAGGAAAAAGTTTTAAAATTTGTTCAAGCTCATTTTTGATTTCTCGCGGTTTGACTTCTGATTTATTTTGAAGTTCCGTGCATTTCCATTGTTAAAAGGAAGACAAACTCCACTATCGAACAGCAAAATTGTAAAGGTCACAAAAAACGTGCGGATCGACTTCTAATTTCGAAATTGGAATTTAACTATCAGATTTCCAAGTGAAATAAAAATTTTTCCTATTGATCTAATTTTTTCAAATTGAGTTAATGTGAACAAAAAAGTGTCCATAATAAATTGTTCTACAAATTCAAAGAGCTTTCAGGCCATCTATTTGTTCTCTTTGAAATTAAAAAGTTGAGTAGTTTTGAAAAAAAAAACAAGTCAGTTTTTGTTTCAATTTCCTTGCGTTCATTGCTCTTTTCCAACTGTCAATTGACTAAGTTTTGAAGCTTGTTGGCTAAATGATTGAAAAGATTTTCTTATTCCAGGCTAGGCTTTAGTTCCGATACATTCTTAATTCCAATTAAACTCAATTTTGATTTAAAGTTTCCTTTTTTCCTATGTGTTAATGGGCTGCTGGTTGCTAGGCAACGGAGCATAGTGGGCGACTGTTTGTCTGAGTTCGCCCAGGCGTTCCCGGTGGCCTTCCTGGAGCCCCTGATGACGTCATACAACAAACAGTCCATTCTCAACAACAATGATTTCAAACGTAAGTTGAGATGAATGTTTGCATTTGCCGCGCTGCAATTAAGTCCTGCAAATTTACTTTTAAATAAAAAGTAAAGCCCTTCATTTGAAAAGTCATTGCTTTGATGTTTATGCATTGCCCCTATATTTGTGTAAAATGGCTGAAAATTAGACCAATAAACTACTTTAAGATAAAACAAGACTGCTCGTATCAGGGCAAAGCCCTGAATGTTCCGACTGCCTTTTAAGGTTTATGGAGCAGCAGTAATAACATAAAAAATTAAATGAAATAAAATAAAATGAAATTTTTTTTCTCCAAATATTGAAATTTTTTATGAAAATCATCCCCCCACACGCCATGTAAAGTACAAAAAGAGAGATTTCGTTCCTTGTAACAAATCAATTATGGCAAATAAGCTTCTTTCAACCAATTTGGAACGATTTCTAAGACGGATTAAATCTCCGCTTACGCGTTAATAGCGCGAATTATATCGCGCGTCAATTGTCCCAAATTGGGCAAAATGGCCAAAATGGCAATCTTAAAACCCTCATAACTTTACGAAAAATGATTACAGGTGAAATATCTTTTCAAATTTAAGTTCAGGACAACAATGGCTTTCGAAGGATATAAAAAAATTCCGTCAAAAATGGCTAGTTAAAAAGTCGAAATTTGTCTTAAGAAAAAAAACCCACCCCGAGCACAAATATTCCGTTACTTTCGTATCGAAAGTCGGAACAACAAGACTTCAAATATCACACAAATGTTGAATTTTGTTCCAAAATGGTTGATAAGAATTTCAAAATTTGTCAGGAGAAAAAAGTAGCATACCGAGTACAATTACTCTATCATTTTTAACGATAGCCACAAAGATTTTTTAAAGCAAGATTCATAGTAATAATTGCTTGGCTAATATTCAGTCTTTAGAGCATTTAGTCTGAGAGCGAAGGGTTTATAAAAACTGAATAGCAGAATTAAGCCGCCCGATGAGATAATTTTGCAAAGTTCTCATTATACCGAGAAGTACTGGTTCCCGAGGACAATCGCGGAGTATTTGAATTCGGTTTAAATTTTTGTTCCCAGAACGAATTTTTTTGGCAGAAATTTTTGTTTCACCAGATAAATCACATTGATCACCTGTGCTCAAAACTGAATCACATCCAACCATTGTAAAGTCTTCAATGTTTTTAAAACTTCTTCAGAAATGATGCATATCTATTTTGATTCAGCATGCTTGTGTCCGGAAGCAGAAATGCAGCAGATCTGATATTTTTGTCATCATATGTGACAATTGATAAATCAGAGTTGATTCAAACCTAATTCAGACCCAGTTAAGCCGGATCAGATTTTAATTATTGGGCAATCCGTAGCTTTTCGTAACGAAAAACGTGATGAATTTGTGCTCGGTGTGAATTTTCATTAGATAGTTTTCAACTTTCTGACATTTTTTGACGCAGTTATTTGGATGGATATTGATGACTTGATTTTGAATTGATACTGGATGGGTTTTGATAATTTCAATTTAAATTATCTTTCACCTGTAAAAAAATTTTGCAAATTTGGTTGAGATCGAAGAATTTGAGTTTGAATAACTAAAAAAGATAGCCCCTTACTGTGTTCCGACAATAGTCTTAAAAAAACACTTAAAAATTTTTTTTCAAATCAATGTCATTTTTTTTGCGTGGTGTTATAAAAAGATCTGAACAAAAAAATTCATTGTAAAAAGGCCAATTGGGAAACAGTTTTTGTAGAAAAAAGACAAGAAACACCCAAAAATTTATCATAAATTTTTTTTAATTTCTTTTTTTTCTGCCGAAATTTTTGATTCTAAAATTGACGCTAAAAACTCCACAACTAACTTTTCTCAAGTCAAAATATGTTTTTAAGGCTTAGAATTCATAAACATAATAATGTGAGCGTGCACGCTCCCCGCATTGGAGTTCCATGAATAAAAATCGATTATAATTGAGTTTTTTTGTCAGTGTCCACAAAAGTGAAAACAAATCGATTATAATCAATTAAAACTGGATTATAATATTACTATTTTATGAGGCAACAAATCCTTTTTTCATCCATTATAATCATTTTTTTCCATTTTTGTGGACACTGGCAATGAAACTATATTAAACTCGATTTTTTTCCATTTTACTGACATGCGAATTTCAACGCACATAAGGTCTTTTCTACGTTTTAAACTAAAGTTGGCTATATTGGTTACTTATTACTTGTTCAATTTAATTTTTTTCCACCTAGCTTTGATATTTTTGTTACTTTTTTATGTTACTGAACATTACCCCCTAGCGATTGGGTTCAAGTGGGGGGGGGGTTTCATGTGGGGGGGGGGGGGGGCGTTCAGGTGGGAGGGCTGATCAGGTTGGGGGCGGGTTTCTTCAGGTGGGTGGGGGGGCTTAGTGTTCAGGTGGTGGGGGAGGGGAGCAAAGGGGCAAAGGTTATGGTGGTTGAAGGGGAGCAAAGGGGCAAACGTTGGGCGGGGTGGGAAGCTTATTGGAATCTTTTTGCAATTTGAGCTTAGTTTTGAAATGGATTAGGCCGTACACTCCCTTTGCAAAGTTTCCGCATAACTCGATTGATAAATCCAGAAATTTTTGCAAAATTTTGCACGACGCGCGAAGCAAAAATAAAGTGAAAAAATAATCCATTTTAATGTGGTTTTCTACTTATTATAAAATCCTTTAAAATGGATTCGAAAGTAATTATATTACATTTTGTTTTGGCGAGAACGAATGGATTTAAATCCATTTTTAGTCTAATTTTGTTGTCTGAACGTAACATGGGAATCGATTATATTTACAACATTTTAGACCACGAAAATCCATTGTAATCGATTTGTTTTGACTTTTCTTAAATGCGGGTCACCATAATAGATCGAAATGAGACCAAAAATCAAAAAAATTCAAAACAATTTTTCTCGACACTTAGAAAAACATTTTCAAAATTTTAAAATTTGGCATCGATTTCGAAACTTTCATTTTCCAATCGAAATTGAAAGTGCTTTATTATGATGTATCACTAGACCCATTCCGATGATTTTTTGCGATACCTGTTTTTGCGTGGAAAACAAAAAAAAAGAAAAAACTAAAACACATCCGAATACAAAGTTCCTCCGCATTTTTCAAATAGTCGGAACAAAAATAACAAATGTCGTACATTCTTAAAATTTGATTTTTGTTAGACATTTTTTGTTTTAAAGAAAAAGTGGTTATTTTTTCATGAGACTCATGAGCTTCCTTTTTTTCCATCAATGGTTCTTTTAGTCTGAATCATTAAGTTTTGTGATCAAGTATAATTCAAAAATGACATCCTGTGAATCAGATTTGAGAATTTTTATAGGAACAAATCTATGTAATCTAACTATTTTCATCCATCTTCTGTTCTGGTTTTTAAATTTCATTGAAAGTAGACACTTATATAGGTTGCGCTGGCTTTTCTCTCGTTTTTTTTTTGGAAAATTTGATCATCCCGAAGTTAATTATTTGTACTTTTGTTTTCAATTTTTGTTTAAAATCATTTAAAATACATTTGTCTCAAATTAAGTGTGGAAATGACGCGGAAAAACGTGAATGATCGCTTGTTTGGAAAGTGGAGTTTGATTTTTAGATTTTCCAATAGATTAAAAAACTCACCTATCGATCCAGTTTTCTCAATTTGAGTTTTTTTTTGTATCAGAAAAAGTCAATCATGAAAAGTTCGAGCTTTAAAATTATTCATTTGTTTCCTTGAAATTCGAAGTTTTTCAAAAAAAAACTAGTTGGTCTTTATTGGTTTCTTTGCGTTCATTGACACTTTTCCAGCTGTCTATTGGCTATGTTTGTATGTGACGACTTTTTGGCTATATCAAAAAATAAATCAAAAAAATGAACAAGTCTGATATTGCATAAAAAGTACCGATATTTAATGCGTGCAAAATTTCCATTAATACTTCTCGTATAAGAGCAAAGCTAAGAGCAACATTTTCCATTGACTCCATTATTTTGAAAACTTTGCTTCCCGAATCCCTATGTTAAAGTACAAAATGTTGAACTTTGCGTCTGTTAATGCAATTCAATGCAAAATAGATTGCCTGAATTCAATTTGGAGTTTTTTCGGAACCCGACTAATTCTTAGCTGTTCTACTCCGAGCGTTTCGATTTTCAGAGCGTTTTGACGCTGTGGGCTTGTGTGGCGATGTGCCCACTCTGGACGAGATACTGAATGAAGTGAACATCATGGCCAGTGCAGCTGCCGCACATGCACAACACACACGTCCACAGGAGGACTGCTATGACCCTCTTCTTGTCATTGAAGTACTCCTGCCCATAACCTGCATGTGAGTTGCAGTTTCTGTTCCGATGATATTCCAACAAAGGAGCTCTGAATCCCCCCTGCTTTTCAAAAACCAAAAAGTACATGACCTATGACCAGGGGCGGATTTAGGGGGGGGGGGGGACGCCCCCCCTCAGGGATTCGACCCCCTGCCGACCCAAAGGGTCCCCCCTTTGATACTTTTTCAGAAATCCATTTTTGGCCGACCGTCCATAAAATTTATTTTTCTAAAGGCGCCTTTGGCGCCAATATATACTAAGTTTGAGGGGGAGCACGCGCCAAAAAAAAGCGATTTTTTTGTCAAAATTTTTCAAAAAGTGCCCAAAAACGGCTTTTTTGATTGTGTTTTTAAAAATTTGTCTGCGGCGCAGAAAATTTTGCCAAAATGGGGGCAAAACAGTGCTTTGGGAGAGCTCGAAAAATCTATTTGATCGATCTAAAAAAAAAAAAAAAAGGTCGTCAAAATTTTGGAAAACTTTTTGAAAATCCGCCCCCCCCCTCGAGAAAATCCTAGATCCGCCCCTGCCTATGACCATACAAAAAATAAATGATTGAGCTCAAGTATGGTACTCTATTGACGTCTCGATCCTATACTCTTATTTTTCCAGAGTTCGCCAAAAGGTGTTGATTGATTGTCGTGATTTATGTTCAGATATTTGTCAAACTGGATTTACCGAGGACCAGATTACGAATTGGTCGATGCGTAAGTATCCTTGAGACGAATAATAAGTTGAAATTTAATGTTCATCTCTATCTGATGACATTTCTGTTCATTCAGTGCAAGTTACCCGACCAACGTGACTCATGCTCAGCTGAACAGTTTGTTGTCTAACGTGTTGTCTCTCATCACAAACAACTTCGGAGTCACAGACGCGGTGTGGATGACCAAAATTGCCAGTAAGCACGCTTCTTGCTCTCTCTCGGCGCTTCCATTAAGTGTACCCCCGGAAACATTAGTATGTGGGTTATAATGGTGAAGACCCCTCATTCGCTAGTCTGGGGACTGGTACTGTCCTGTGGATAGACCTGAATCACATAATTTTATAATCATTTAGTACTTTTATGTAAGACCCGCCTAAATACAGCTCAAAAACGAACTGAAAAATTGATTCCTACCTGAATATTCTGGAATGTTCTAGAAGTGACCCAGCCCATCTGGAAAGAGTCAGTGTCCTCAATGTTGACAAGTCACTACCTGCCTGCTCTGAGACGACTGGCCGCCGAGATGAGCCGACTGATTCAGGAGGAGACACGACTCAAGGCCGAGTGGCAGACGGGAAAAGACACGACAAACTACGAAGACGACCTACAGCAGGTATAATTCACGCGAGTTCGTGCTAAAAATGTCTAAGATTGAAAGTTGAAAGTGGTTTTTGTCCTATTATTTTCAAAATGAAATCTTTTTAAAAGCAAGTCATTGCCTATTTTTTACGTGTCCCCAGCTGCCTAAACGAAAAATTATTTCATAAAAAAACCGTGAATTTGAGGACGGAACTCAAAATTATCGATTTGTTTTTGATGAAGAGTTTCATCGTTCAAAGGGGGACTTCATAATGTAAAGCTGTGGCTTGCTTACAAGATCTCATTTTGTAAATCATGAATTTTTCGGCTGGTGTTTTTATTATCTGGCCTTTTTTGGCTGCGTTATGTTCTCGGGTTTGATCGCACTGGTTTTTTTTATACAGGCAATGACGCTACTGATGAGAGACATCTACTGCTTCTTACCTTTTCTATTGGCCTTCATGGACCAGGAGAGGGTGGGTTGGAACTCTGAGATGCCTCCGGACGCTTACGAGGTTTTCGAACTCGTCACCACCATTTTTGCCTGCTGGGCAAAATCTCAGGTTGCTGTTTGTTTCAAAACTTCTGTTAAACTCTTTGAACCCTCAGAACTCCGCTAGCATAAAAATACAAGCCAAAGCGTTGAGTTCATAAAAAGAAAAAAATTATCTTGCGTTTCGACCTAAAATTAGATTCCAGCTGGCTTATTCGAAGGTGAATTTTTTGTCAATAGCCAACGTTTCATTTGTCAAGTCAATAGTTAAAGACCGTTTCTAATAAAAAAAAGTCAGCCGAATTGTAAAAAAAAACTTAATTCGAATTGGGAATCTTTATTTTTCTTTTTTTTTGCAGACCATCCGGAGGGAGGAGAGTAACTTTGTGAGCACACATGGAGTGGACACTATGGCCCTCATCAGTGGACTGCAGACCAGTGCAGCCACTGCAGCCCATGACGTCATCCTGTCACACAGAAAGAGTGAGCCAAAACCTCTCACCTTCCAGTTCTATGCAAAACTTTTTTCAATGCAACCGCTTTTTTTGATTTTTTTCTGTTGTGAAGGAACTGTTTTAACAGAAGACAACTATGTTTAAGGGCAACATATTTTTAGCAGTTATTTTATACAGTGCTGATTTAAATTAACCGGACAAAACGCCTTAAACTTGAAATTTAAAACGCGTTTTTCTCAAATTGGGCTCAGTTAAGGTGAAAACTTATGAAGACAAACTTATGAGTTGCTTAAAATTTTTGCAGAATTACTATGGTGTAATTTGTTTTGCATAATTCGGGCCCAGAATTTTACCCCAAAAATGGGTTATTTTGGCTTTTCTTAGTTAATCAAAAATTACGCCAAAAATACCCAGTCGATCACAGACATAATTATATCAAAGAGAGCGCCTTACGTAGACCAACAAACTTTAAAAAAGGATATATTCTCCAAAAAAAATTGCAAACCGTTTAAAAATTGTTTTTAAATAAAAAGTTGGTGTTTTTTTTTAGTAAAAACGACCTTTTTTGTCTATCAAACAAAAATAAATTAACTTTTACAATGTTTTGGAGAATATACCCTTCTCAAAGTTTGTTGGGCGACGTAAGAGGCTCACTTTAATTTATATTTTTCTGTGATCGACTGGTGTTTTTGGCGTAATTTTTGATTAACTAAGAAAAGCCAAAATGATTAATTTTTGGGGTAAGATTTTGAGCCCGAATTTCACAAAACAAATTACAGCATATTAATTCTGCAAAAATTTTAAGCAACTCTTGTCTTCATAAGTTTTCACCTAAACTGAACCCAATTTGAGAAAAACGCGTTTTAAATTTCAAGTTTAGCTCGTTTTGTCCGGTTCATTTAAATCAGCTCTGTATACTTTTCACTTTTTGTTTGGAGACAATCGAACTGTTTCATAGATCCGATGCTATCACAATTCGAAAAATATTTGTCAGATTTTCTTCTATCCGTATTCTTTCGGTCCGGCGTTTTCAAATTCCCAACTCTTCTTTAAAGGCATCTTTCTTTTCCTTGGAACTATAGAACAGTGTTCAAAACGATTTGTTGGTAAGTTCGGAGTCAAAAACGGATTTTAATAACAATCCTTCATCTATTGGAATAATCTTTTTTGGGGATGGAAATTTGATAGCAGTGCCACGAGAGATAGTTGACAAGATACCAAAATCTGTCATTTTGAATCAATAATTGGTCTCTTCTTTTCTTAATTTTATTTAAGAAAGCTTAGAATACTGCGTGGACCTTCCGTGGAAAGCTTAGAATACTGCGTGGACCTTCCGTGGAAAGCTTAGAATATTAGATTATTGGTTTTATATTAAAGATTAAATTTTTGGTACTTTATTTCAGACAAGAAGAAGAAGAAACAACAACAGCAGCAACAACAACAGGATACCGAGACTCATTCTGGAACTTCTCAGTCGGTTACTTTTCACACTTCAATGAGTCTGATCATGGTAGCCTGCAAGAGGATGGTCCCGGTGGGTCTTAACTACCTGGACTCAGACATCCAAGAAGTGATCCAGAGTGCCAAGCACAAGTACCTCCAGGTCAGAGATAGCAACAAAAACGTATATTCCAGACATACCAGTTCCAAAACGAACTTTGCTTTCTAACAACTCTAGAATTGAGTTTGAAAACGAGCATAACTTTTAACAATAGCCTGGGCTAGAACAAAGTATTGGACCAAGCTTAACAGCTAAGACCATGATTCTAAAAGGGAGCAAGACGATTACTCTAAATTAGCATCTAGGAAGATGTAATGGTATCTAATAAGGACCATCTCCCGTTTGATTGATTTAGCCTTTCAGTTGGAAATTTTCTATCGATGCCCCCATCGTTTTTTATAGTTTTCCTGAATTTTAATTGTCTCATATCCAAGCTTTGGCTCATGTGACCAATCTCTCTCTCTTAATGGACCGAGTGAACAATCTCCCCCCTAAAAATGCCAAATTCATGCTGTAAGGACTGTTGTTCTATGCTTAATTCTGATTGGCTTTAAAATATAAAATATTTCTTTTAACCAGGGGCGAATTTAGGGGGGGGGGGGGGACGCCCCCTTCTCAGGGGTTCGACCTCCTGCCGACCCAAAGAGTCCCCCCTTTGATACTTTTTCAGAAATCCATTTTTGGCCGACCGACCCTAAAATTTTTCTAAAGGCGCCTTTGGCGCCAATGTATACTAACTTTGAGGGGGAGCGCGGGCCAAAAAACGCGATTTTTTTGTCAAAATTTTTCAAAAAGTGCCCAAAAATAGGGGCAAAACAGTGCTTTGGGAGAGCTCGAAAAATCAATTTGGTCGACCTAAAAAAAATTGAAAATCCGCCCCCCCCCCTCTCGAGAAAATCCTAGATCCGCCCCTGCTTTTGACCGAGTAGCAGGGGCGGATCTAGGGTTTTCTCGAGGGGGAGGTGGATTTTATAAAAAAAAATTCAAAATTTTGTCGACTTTTTTTTAGGTCGAGCAAACTGAGTTACCGAGCTCTCACAAAGTCCCTGTTTTGGCCAAAAAAATTTTAGGGTCCGTCAGCCAAAAATGGATATCTCAAAATAGTTCAAAGGGGGACCCTTTGGGTCGGCAGGGGGTCGAATCCCCGAGGAGGGGCGTGCGCACCCCGCGCCCTCCCGCTTAAACCCGCCCTCCCCCTAAATCCGCCCCTGCCAAGTAGGATTGTTCACTTGGTCCCAATTTTATTCTGTTTATTTTCAATATCTTCAAAAACCCTACACAGTAACATTTTAAGTGAATGACATGAAGAAGTTAAGTATCATGATATTTATCAAAGAGTTAATGATCCATTGTTTTTATCAAAAAAACTAAAACGTTTGGTTTTGAATTAGAAATGCGACAACAATATGTTCTTCGAGCAGGTTTGTCTCCAATAGTTGTAAATTTGAGTTCAAAAATGACTTCAATATCGTATAAAAATCCACAACTTGTTTATCTGTGAGTGCATCACTTCACGCGTTTCGATTATCCATTGTGCACTATTTAGAGCATTATCTGCACATACTTTTTTCACTGGGAAGCACTCACATTTAATTTTTTAAATCTAGCTGGTTAGGTTAACTAGTTAGTTGTAAAATCTCATCTGTAGTAGCTAATAAATCTGCAAGACTATCTGCTTTATAAAATCAAAAAATATTTATTTGAAAGAGAGGAATCCCGGGATGATTCCCATGCATTTAAAATCTTATGCACAGGTTGAGTTTTTTCAACAAGTTCTGATAACAGATAACGATTTTGATATTATGTTGCTGTTAAATGGCGCATCTGCAGTTCGAACAAAGATACAGTCACAGGACAGAAGTTGCAACTTTTTGATTTCAACCATCAATTAAACGAACAAGACGACTGCTCGTGTCGAGGCAAAGCTCTGAAAGTTCCGACTGATCTTCAACTGGAATAGTTTGGGAAGAAAATATTGGCAAAATATAAATATTAGGCTGATATTAAAAACTTTTTTTTTTAATTTTGATATTTTTTTAACATCCCCCACACGTCATTTAAAATACAAAGTGATAGATTTCGCTGGTATCAATTATGACAAATAGCCTGCTTCAACCAATTTGGAACAATTTCTATGATGGATTAAATCTACGCTTACGCGTCAATAGTGCGAAACACATCAAGCAATAATTGTCCCAAATTGGCCAAATTGGCAATCTTTAAACCCCACAACTTTACGAAAAATGATCGCAGGTGAAATATATTTATGTTTTTTAATTTAAGCTCAAGACGAAAATATTTTTGCCAATTCCGTGACAATTTTTTTGCCAATAACTAAAAAGTCGAAATTTGTCTGGATAAAAAAAAACCACCCCGAGCACAAATATTACGTCACTTTCCTAGAAAGTCGAAACAATTAGCTTGTGTGAATTCAATTTGGAACAATTTGGTAGTGCTATATAATTCGCCAAGCGTAAATAATTTGCGTTAAACTTTCAGCATTAAATTATAAAACGAGTACTTCAGTAAGACTCATTTCAGACTTTTTAGATAGGCAGGATAATGTAGCGGTGTGCGGACCCTGCAGGAAAACCAGGAATCGATCCACAAGTCAACAAATAATTTTTTTTGGAAATTGGTCTCTATGAAGAAAAAAGACCCCGAGATTAGATTTAAAATTTTTTTGAAAAAATGGCACAGTAACGTTTTTGTTCCGACTTTCGAAGAAAGTCACGGAAAGTTTTTTTACTCTTGGTGGTTTTTTTTCTCCAGAGCAGATTCGATTTTTAATTTTTTTGAAGGGAATTTTTGTATCACCAAAAAGTTTTGTTGCCCTGAGATCACCTTTAAAATGATTTTTCTAAAGTAATTCTGTTTTATAGAATTAAGGGGGCTCAAAAATTACTTAGGCCAGCTTGGGATAAATTACAGGCGGCATATAAAATGAACGCGTAACCGCCGGAGATTGGATCCGACATAAAAATTGTTCCAAATTCGACTGAGGCATGCCACTTGGTTTATTTACAATTTTGCTAAATGCAAAGTATATCACTTTGTAATTTAGATAGCGTGTGGGGGATTGTTTTTCTTAAAAAAAACTTTGAAAAAAATTTTTTTTTTTGAAATTTTGTTCATTTTTTCAAACCCAACACTACTCCATTGACATTAAAGGGCAGTCGAAACATTCAGGTCGTCCGCTTGTAAAATCATTCTTGCTTTTTTACTCTCGAGAATAATTGAAGATTCAATGAGAAATTTACAATTTGATTAATGAATCTGTTGAAAAGAATTAGCAGAATCAAACACAAAAGATGTTGTTTTCAAGGTTTATGTGGTCATTCGACTAGCCGTCGTCAGAAAATTGCTGTGGGTGCTGAAAAATCTTCGTACACAGTAAAGAAGTTTAAATTTTTGGATTTGGCCTTCTCGTTATGCAGCGCAAACACGATTTACAAAAGAAGTGAAAAAGAAGTTGACAGACAGTTCCTTGTTTTGACGAAAAATACCTTTAAAATTTTAAGTCATTGTTACTCGAAAGCTTGAAAAAATTAAAAACCTAATTGACTGTTATCAAAGTCTAATGAGTCGATAGAGGCAGTCACACTTCCAAAATATGAAACGAAGCGTTTTTTTGTCGGCCTGCTTTGATTCCCAGCGCAAAGAAATCTTTTAAATTAATACACGCTCCATAATATAAAAACAAGTTCAATGGTTCTATGGCTTCCCAACGAATACATTTCAGTCCAAAACATGAAATTTTTTGTGCTATTTGCGAGAGTTTTTCAGAGTCTAGATTAATTTTCGGACGAGAATGACCTGATTTAATGACCATAAAAGACTTATAAAGATTTCTTTTATTTTTTTTATCCGGCTAAGTTTTTTCCAGTACACGGCAAAATTTATCAGTGTAACTTGAATAACTCAGAGTAAATGACAAAAACGTGAAGAAATTCTTCGTTCATTTGCTGGTTGAAAATTTAATGTTTTATGACTCATGTTTAACCTATTTGAAATTGAGAAAATTTTACGTCAAAATCTGCACTTTCAGCCGAAGATGTTTTAGTTGAAGTAACATTTACATTTTTTTTACTGCTGAAATGACTCAAAACTAAGTTCTCGGAAGCACTAATATAACAAAACATGATTTTAGAATTTCAAAGTCTAGTAAAGTTTTTTTCAAAGGGCATCCAATCCCCCTTGCTTTCTGTTCTAATTCTCTTATCCTCTTTTAAATTTTTCTACGATAGTTTGCAAAATTTTCAAAAAATCTACATGAGGATAAAAATGTTGCTTTCTTCTACTGATAAATGCGACATCAAACCAGTGTTTTGAAATTGGCGTGTTAAGTCGAAAAGTAATTTGGCCTTTTTTGAATTCGTTCCCTGCATTGGTTTTATTTTTTTTCTGAAAATCATTCATTGTCTTCGATCAAGATTTAATAATTTTGTAATAATACTATTGTAAGTAGCAATCAAATCATCGTCACCCCGTGTTTTTGTTCTGACAAATTATTTCACGTTGTGATGAGATAAAATCGAAAAAGTGAAAATTGTTTCAGAAGTCGACAGATGAAGAGGTCAAAGAATTCGTGAAGAGTTCTTTCGAGCAGTACAAAAAACAGTCGGGAACTGTCGTCACATCCACGGTAGATTCTATTCCTAATTTTAACTAAAATTTGAATAATTTAAGTCCCAATTTTTAAAAAGGCCTAGGATTTTCTCGAGGGGGGGACCTATATAGGCTATAGATATCAGGATATACTAATGTTATAACTCTTATGTTAAAATAAGAGCATTTTTTTCAGTGCAAAAGTTTCAAGGTAGGTTTTCCCGTAATTAGTTTGCCTCTGTCTATATTTTGATCTTCTAATATCGTCATTTTGTTGTTTACCATTTAAATCTCAAGAGTTTGTTAATATTTATTCAATTTTAATTTTAGCCTTGTTATAAGGTTATCCTTAGCTTTAGATTATGAATTTTCGATCAGCTTTAGTTGGATTTGCTCATGAAAGCCCCGCATGATTGATTTCAGTATGAAATTGAAACTATATTGGTAATTTTTACAAACTCGGTCAACTACTTGCTATGCTCCAGCCAAATAAAAAAATATTTAACCCCACGAAAGGATGATTTTGGTATTATGGGGGGCTTAGTTACTGGAAGTGGGAATCTATAATGGAAAAGAGTCCATAACATATCAAACATACCGGCGAGTTTTTCAAATTAATCGGCTCTTTTCCAGTTTCCCCCCACCCCTTTCAAATTCAATTTTGAAAAGCTTATTTAACGTTGTCATAATGCAATGAAATTTGGGGTGGTGAACAAATCGACAACTGTGAAGAGATTTGTTCGTCCTACTTTACATCGTAACATCACGCATTTAGCCGTAATAAGTCAAAAAACAAACATAAAACTCGATATTTTGAAAAGAAAAGTGCCAATTAATTGGTGATATGTTACAATAGTAGTGCAATTTTCAGTGTAGTGCATGTATTAAGTTTGAGAACTATAACGCATAATATAGTCATTTCATTTTCCATCAATTATACTACTACTAAGATAGTTTTTGTAAATACATTACTCTGCCGGATGAAATGCTATTCAAAAGTTCAAAATTTACACTTCTTTTGCCAAAAAATTTGGCTTTTGAAACAACTTATAAACAATGTGCGAAGTATAACAAAAAGCGATCCAGCAAAAATTGAACCTACCACCTTTTGTAATATATATCACCAATTAATCTCATTTGATCCTTTTTGATTCGCTACCCGTGTCCTAAACTATAACTGATAATTGTGAAGTATTTTTGTTTGCTTCAGGGTTCTTTCGACGCCTTTGGAGAAGAAAGTGTTCTGCATATTTCAAAAGTGCTTCAACGATTGCATTTTGTGAGTCCTCAAACATCTTAAAGTAATTTCAAGTCCTTCCAACAGACGTCAAAACCTCGCCAAAAACTCCACCAATTTTCTGAAGGCGAGGAACACTTCTTAAACGATACTGTTAAAACAATGGCTGGGCTGTTATAAAACTTTCACAGATGGCAATTACCTTTTGACCAAAAGCCGTTTGCTTGAAATGATTTTTTTTTGTCAGATTGGCAAAAATTAATTTGCTCCCGGGCAGGCTCGAACTGCCGACATCCGCATCGCTCATTCTGTCTATAAGTACGGCGCTCTAACCGACTGAACTACGGGAGCTACGTGTAAGTTAGGTACCGCCTGATCATACCGGGGGTGTGGATGGGGGGTTTAATCTCAGCTTGATCTAGGGCAGTCGATCGATGTCTCTGGGCTTCTATTTAAAATTTCTTCAACTTTAAAAAGCATCATTTGCTTCATAGTTTCCATCTACCACTCGAACCAAGTTGACCACCTCGGTGTTTGTAATCTTATGATTATAATTATTACTGTTGTGATTATAATGATTATTGTTCCGACCATTTGAAAAAATGGGGAGGAACTTTGTATTCGGGCGTAATTTTTTTTTGTTTTTCACGCAAAATCAGGTACCACAAAGAATAGTCGAACTGGGTTGAGTGATATATCATATAAAAGCACTTTCAGTCGTGATTCGAACCACATTAAAAATTTTCCGAAATTTTTTCCCAGTGTTGAGAATAACCGGTTTGAAGTTTTTGACTTTTGACCAATTTAAAATCTTAAAACTTAATTTAAGCAAGTGAAACTTATTTTGGAGTTGTCAAGCTTGATTTTGCGCGAAAAATTTTGAAAAAAATATTTTAATTTTTTTTGTTAGTTTTTCTAGTCATTTTTCTACTGAAACTTTTGTACAATTTGCTTATATTACTATGACTGTCTAATGTGCCTAAAAAATATTCTTACGTCATATCCTTTTATCCCACCCAGCAAAAAAATACACAAATTGGGGAAAAAGAAAATTTTCTGAACCTAATTTTCTAAAGACCATTGTCGGAACATTCTGTGCTACTTGCACAGTAACCGGCTACCCTTGTTATTAGGGTTTTCATGATTAAGATTCTTATGATTAAAAAAATTATTTTATGATTATTATTGTAATTTTAATAATGATTTTTAGCATTGTCATTATTAATATTATGATTAATATTGTTCCGACCATGAAAACGGGGAGAAATTTTGTATTCGAATGTGTTTTAGTTTTTTGGTTTTCCTGGCAAATCAGGTACCTACAAATGAAGATTGGACTGGGTTGAGTTATTTATCATTTTAAAGCCGTTTCAGTCGTGATTCGAGACACATTAGAAAGCTTGGAAATAATTTTTCCAGTGTCGAGAAAAACCAGTTTGAAATATTTCATTTTTTGTCTTAATTCGAGCGAATAAAGCGAGCAGGCGTTTATTGTTTCCCACGCAAATTCAACTACCTCAAAGAATGATCGGATTGGCTTGAGTGATAAATCATATATCATATTAAAGCCCTTTCAGTCGTGATTCAAACAACATTGAAAATTTCAAAAAAAAACTCCTGGTGTCGAGAAAAACCGGTTTGATTTTTTTTTTCGTTGAATTTCGACCATGTGAACAGGCTTACGTTAGCTTTTATGCTAAATTTAAGCTTTGAAAACTTAATTTACTTAAATCAAAATAGTTTTCGGAGTTTGTAGCCTCATCACAGGAATCGAAAACTTCAAAAATTTGGGAAAAAATTTTTGAAAAATTATTTAAAAAAATTTAAATCTGTTTATGAGTTCTTATCTTTTGCTCCCGGGCATTTTTTTAAATAACTGACGAAAACTTTTATACCCTACTTTTCGCTCAGTTTCCTTTATCACACCAAGACGAAAAAAACTACACTAATTTGAAAAATAGTTTTGTGTAACTTTTTAGGACTGGTCGGAATAGTTTGTGCTACTTTCACAGTAACCGGCTATCCTTTTTTTAATTATTGTTGTTCCGACCATTGAAAATGCGTGGGAACTTTTTATTCGGGTTTGTTTTAGTTTTTGTTCCGACCATTGAAAATGGGGAGGAACTTTGTATTCGGGTGTTTTTTTGTTTTTTTTTCCACGCAAAAACAACCACCATAAATAATAATCGGACCGGGTTTAGTGATATATCAAAATTAAGCCATTTCAGTCGTGATTCGAACGACATTGAAATTTAAGCTACTGCCGTTTACAGTAGCTTATTCATAATTAATTTCAATTTTACACGAGATTTTTAATGCCATTTTGGTAATCGAAATCTTCAAAGTTTCAAAAACATTTCTGCAAAAAAAACTTTTCTAGTCATTTCCATCAAAAGCCGTTGTCCTGTTTGCCTATTTTACTATGATTGTCAAATGTGCCTAAAAAACAGTTCTACGTCAGATCCTTTTATTACACCACTTTTTCTTGCGTTTTTTGAAAACTGTATACGGAAAATTATGTGCTACTTGCACAGTAACCGGCTATCCTTGTTATAGTATGAAGTTTCCGCAATTCGCGGAGGATGAATGAAAAGTTATCAAGCTTGCCAAAGGATAGTCAGTTTCTATCAATTCCTTACATTCCGGACTTGAGCGATGCTCAGCTATGTTTTTGATAATCTCTTGGTCGTGTGGTGTAGTGGGTGGGGGATACCATAACTTTTTATTGTCTATTTCTGTGTCTTTCGCTTTACACCCTTCCCCCCCCTCACCCACCAGCTTCGTACTAAAAAAAATTGTAACCCCAGCACGTACTGTGGTTTTACTATATAATGTGGGCTTTAAATTGTTGGGTGGTGTGTGTGTGGGGGGGGGCTTTATAGGAAATAAGACCCGCATTTGCTTAACCTGCAGGTGGACCACCCTCCCCTTGAGAACACGGAGGCGGAGACGCGTCTGCTGTCTCGGGCACGCAAGAGGAGTGTGATGCAGTGCTTCCAGATGGTGCCACTCTACACTTTGCCCAGACACAAGGCTGTCAACTTGTTCGTCAAGTCCTACCAGGACACGTGGCTCTCCACCGAGGAACAGCATGGAAAAGAAAATCTGATTGAGAGTCTCACTACCGGTTAATAACTTTTCTCATATTAGATCAAGCTTTCACTCTTACATGAATGGCATTATGAATGGCATTACATAAACAGCTCATACTTATTGAAGCTAGGGGTGGATCTAGGTTTTTCTCCAAGGGGGGGGGTTTCAAGAAAAAAAAAATGAAAATTTTGACGCCCTTTTTTCAGGTCGACCGAATGGATTTGGCAGGATTTTGCAAGCCCTTTGAAAACAGATAAAAACCCTATTCTGTCAAAGTTTTCTGCGCCTCAGGGAGATTTTTGAAAAAAAAACGGTCCAAAAACCGTTTTTGGTTACTTTTGGGAAGGTTTCCCAAATAATTAGTGTATATTTGAGTTGAAAATGCCTTTAAAAATTTTATAGAATCGGTCGGCTGAAAATGGACGCCTTAAAAAGTTTCAGAAGGAGACCCTTTGGGTGGCGAAGGGTTAGAAACCCTTTGCCCTTTAAATTTGGCCAAAATCTTTTCAGACGTCTCTAGCTATCATTTTTAAAATTTATTTTAATGGCTTTTGCTATAATGTTGAAATCGAATTTTTTAAAAGTCTTGAGTTATTTCTTAAATAACGACTCAGATAACTCTGGCAGAGCTATTTTTTCCTTCGAAGATTTTTCAACTTTTTTACAGTTAAAGCACAGTTAAGATATTCCCATCAATTCAGAAAGCCACAATGTATCAAAAAGTTGATATAAAAACGAAGCTAACTGAAATTAAAACTCAATCTCTTACATCGAATTTTCACTTTTTCATTAACATTAAACTACATCTTTAACATTAAACTAAACTTTATGCTTTGCACATACTAGGAGACACTTTGGATCCTAGTAAGCCAGACCCTCTGACTCAACTGATCACTTTCATCAAAAGGGGGGCTCAGAAGATGGAGGAGGAGTCCGGAGGGGGAGGGGGAGGGGGAGGGGATGATGGCCAGGGGGAGTTGCTGTACATCTCGTATGCGGAACTGATGAGCAGCAGCTGCAGTTGTCAGGAGGACGACGAAGACGGCGATGACGAGGGGGCCGAGCCGAGTTTCGAGGTAAATACAAAAAAAATAAAAATCCGCAAAATATAAGCACAGAATGAAAACTTAATAACTTTAATATTTTTAGAATAAAATTTAAAGTAGGTTCATTCGAAGTGAAATCGAGAAAGCAAAGAGTTGCATTGCTATAAATTGAGCAATTTTTGATGCGCTGGCTTCAATTATTGGATTATAATTGGCTAAAATATAACCCTTGTGACAAAAAAATAATCTTTTGTCTTAATAATATTCTAAAGCTTGCATATCTTTTATGCTTCCCAGGAACAGGAGATGGCGAAGCAGAAGTTGTTGTCGGAGCAGGCCAGATTGAAGGAGAGGGGTGCGGCCGAGATGATTCTGCTGCGACTGACCAAGTGTGGGGGAGTGCAGTCGGAAGTGGCCGAAGTCACTCTGCAGATGGGCATCTCAGTCCTCACTGGGGGAAATGTCGACATCCAAACGGTAAAAAAAATCATACAATCATACCATACCATAGATAAACCAAAACACAGTTTTATTTTAATTTTTTTTTTGTAGAAGGAAAATCTGGAGAAGTGCTTTTTATTAGTTCTGATTAGCTCCATGAAATATTCCATTTTGAATACAGTGCTCGCTTAAGCATGGGTGTTCAATCGTAGTGCATAGCTGAATCAAATCATTTAAAATTAGTTTTTGGTTCAATTTTCAAAAAAAGACGGAGTATTTATGCGTTGCGCGGTTATTTGACAAACCAAGTTCAATTTTTTTGATTAGATACAATTGATAAAACTTTTTAGTGCTCCTGAAAAGTATCGATGCACTGAGATCAAAAAATGTTTAGTTATGTTTTTTAGTAAAGTTATACGATTTGAAAATTGCCAATTGTGGTATAATAATTGCACGCTATAAATCGTTTTTCATAATGTGGAACGACTAATCAATCCGACTAAAAAACATTCCAAATTTAATTGAAGTGACGTTTTTGTATTATTATTGCGTTACATGCGCAAAAAGCGCCACTGTGTATATTTGATATAGCGAACAAAAACAATGCAAAATTAAAAACATGCATTTTTTCATATAATTTTTTCACGGGTTATCTTTTTTAGATTGGAAGATATTTTGCTGCCCTGAGCTCGAAAATTCATAGTTTTGTAGTAAAGCTATGGGGGTTGAAGATTGCCAAGTTTGGAATATCATGGCTAGCTATGTTTCCATAATTGCGTAACACAGGCGGTGATTTAATCCGGCTGAAAAAGTATCGAGTTTCATAGTGGAAAGTTTCAAATAAGTTAAATTGAGCTGAGGCAAGTGTATTTGTTCGGGAAAGTTGACCCAAAAGAGGAAAATTTTCCCATGGTATTGAAAGTGTATTAGATTTTTCAAATGAAAACTGCCCATGTCTGATTGAGAGGTCGGAAAATTCTTAGCTGTGCATTGATACGCCAACCTTGTAAACTTTCATATAACGGTCTCTTGCGCTTGTAAATTCGCTCGCGAACCATATCCCCCAGGATAAAATTACCAGTTTTTAGTCTAGAATTCCCCACCTTGAAATTGAACAAGAAAGCGACACTAAAAGCCGAATTGAACGATGGAAGATAATTACCAGAAAAAAAATTAATAGATTAAAGACTAAATACTAAAAGGACAAGTTAACAGCTATGGCTTTGAGATAGTCCATCTCTTTGTAGCTAGTGGCAGAACAAACAATTTTTTTATCTATCAAACTGATCCTCTTTCCTTGTGTGATTTTTTTGCCCCGTGGTCCGTGGATCAACATTCCGTGGTCCTAAAGATCGGAAATTTTGACATAAAAAAGAGTTTTTTAGGAGTCGGGGACCTCTTTTTACACCATTTCGCCCTACCTTAGAATTTTTGACTCCTGGAGGGTACATTGAACAGATTTTTGTATCAATTGTGCAAATTATCGCATGTGGGATTCGAGCTCACGCTGAAGAAATGAATTTTTTTTTTTCAATTGTCCTACTGACTGTTGCACGTTGTTTATTAAATTTTGCAATCAATGATCATTCTTCTAGGAAGCCAACAGGAATCTCAAAGTTGTTGAAAAGTCACGTACAAATGGCCATGCGTGTTTAAATTGAAGTCAGTTCAAAATTGAATCTATAGAAAGCATAAAATGTTATAATGTATACAATTTGATTTTCGGGGTTTTGAATTTAAATATGGGGGCTTTTGTTTTAGGGGGATTTTATTCAATGGAGAAAATTGTTTAGGGGGATTTAATCCAGGAAGATTTTGTTTAAGGGATTATATCCTGTGGGATTTACTCCTAGACCCTTGCGGAGTAGTAGCTTCCCAAATGTTCATTTTGATTAGATCTTCGTATTGTTGTCATCATATGAAAGACATTTTATGCTCTAAACTAATGTTCTAAACTCAAATAATGTTCTAAACTCAAATAAAGTTTCAAATAATGTTCTAAACTCTTTTGCCATTTTTTTTCTTGCAAAAACAAAACTTTATTTCAAATATAATTTTTTAATTTGAAAAATGTTACATCAAATGCTTTTATACATTAAAATATTTTGAAATCTGCGTTGTTATTTCCTTACCAAAATCAAAAAATGAACTACATTTGGAGATCAATTTGATCTCAAGAAAACCTTTTTTTTAGAAAAACAAGCTGAAGGGCAGTCAGAAAATCTGCTCTAATACGAGGAGTTCTGTTGTGTGACACAGAGCAAATTGAAAACTATTTTGTATAACTTCTATAGGTGTTGCCAGTAGCGTGCGCGGTGAAATTTCACGTTGGGAGTCTTGAAAATTTTAGTCAACCGTTTTTCAGTTTTGTCATTCCGAATTTTTTTTCTGCCAAGCACCTAAAATAACCATATTGAGTTAGACTTCGTTTTCTGTATGATCTTGGTTTTGCGAGTTATCATCATTCAAAACTAGTATTTTATAGCCCATATTAGTATTTCAGTATTAAAAATTAGTATAGAAAAACTTTCAAGCTTAGTTTGTCAAAAATGACTACATGCACCGAAGTTTCAGTGGTGAAATATGATTAGAATGGATTTTTGTTGACTAAAATTTATCCAGATAAACGATTATTGTGGTAAAATTAGTAAAAAAATATTTACTCAAAGTTTTGCAGCTTTGTGTCAAATTTGAGCCTGAATAAACACGTTCATCCCCATATTCACCAACCACCACTTGAAAAAAGTTTTGAAAGTAAATTGAAATAAAATCGATTACAAACGATAAAGATTGGATCTAATTGCTTTGAATAATGGAATAATTTATTCCATTTTTAATCAACTCCAATCGATTGTTTTCAAATTTTAAAGAGGCAGACTGTAGCAATCCAATATAATTGATTATTATCCATAAAAATCCAGTGCGGATGTCATTTATTTCAGGGGCGGGTTAAGAATTTTTTCGAAGGCGGGGCAGATTTTGCCGACATTTTTCTGAATCGATTCAATTGATTTTCCGAGCGCTCTCAGAACGCTGTAAAGAGACCCTATTGTTACGAAAAATTTTGCGCCGCAGTAAGGGGATCGAAACCCTGACGGAGGGCGTCCAAATCCCCCTGGACCCTCTCCCCCTAAATCAGTCCCTGATGTATTTGCAAAAAAAACAGAGTGGTGGCAGTCTTACGCTCTCCTTCGGGACGCTGCTCGGTCATGCGATTTGATGTTTTTGTTTAAAGCAGAAGAGATACATTTTTTGATTAAAAACTGAGTTCTGATTAGATGAGCTATAAAAGTCATTGTTTTTCTGTTAAGACGATGTTGAACCATCTGTATGAGAAGAAGGACGTCGCTTTCTTCGACAGCATCGCTGCCTTCATGCAGTCATGCAGTGTGCTGAATCTGGACAGCTTCGAGAGGTGCAACAAGGCCGAAGACCAAGTGTCCTCTGCAGCGTCGTCCGCTTCCGAGAGTGCATCCAGGGTCATGGATGACTCATCTTTCACCACCAAGTTGTTCAGGTTCCTCCAACTGCTCTGCGAAGGGCACAATGCAGGCTAGTCTGTCTTCATTTTTCGGGAGAAGAATCCAAAATTTCAAACTTTGTTATATGTCTTGTTTCCCGACAACGTAATGGGGAAAAATTTAGGTTCGAGTTTAATTTTTTTTGCAGCAAAATCAGGTTTCACAATGGTAATTGTCCGATTTTTAGGCGTCAAAGAAACGGTTTAAAATTTTAGTTTTTAGGACTTAAAAATTCTCGGTTTTGACTGCCGCCGGAAAAAAAGAAAATAATTGCTACTTGTGCAGCAACCTGTTTTTTTGTTTGTTTTCATTGGCTGATTGTTGTTGTGTAGAGTGGCAGAACTACTTGAGGGTGCAAGAGGGCAACACTTCTAGTGTGAATCTAATCAACGCCTCTGTGGACTACCTGGTGAGGCTGCAAGAGAGTATGAGTGACTTCTACTGGCACTACTCCTCCATACAGCAGATAGACAACAGAGGCAGAGAGGCATTTATGGTGGCCATTCTAGTCGGCAAACAGGTACATTACATCCCACACAGCGGTATTTGGAATGTGGGGAGTGATAAAATGGTCCTTTGTTACGGTTAATTCTACTTAGTTACAAATAAGATATGTTTAAAAAGTGAATTAA